TTTTTTTTTAGCTGAGCCATCCTGCTACCTGTTGGCAGCTCAGTGGCTGCTCAGCTCGGGCTGGACTCGAACCGCTGTTGCTCAGAGCTCAGACTCTTGAGCGAGCTCTTAACCAACTGAGCCACTCAGCCGGCCCAGCATTTCATCTTTTTATGGCCGCGCAGTATTCCATTGTGTGTATGACCACCTCTTGATCCGTTTGTCTATCGATGGACACTTGTGGCTTAAGTTGCTTCCATAACTTGTCTATTGTAAATAATGATGCAATGAACATGGGGGTGCAGATATCTTTACAAATTAGTGTTGTCACGTTTTTCGGGTAGATACCCAGAAGAGGAATTTCTGGGTCCTAAGGTAGTTCTACCCTTAATGTTTTAAGGAACCTCGGCACTGTTTTCCAAAGTGGCTGCACCAATCTGCATTCTCACCAGCAGTGCCCAAGGGGTCCCCTTTTCTCCACAGCCTCCCCACATTTTGTGAAACTTGTTTCACTCACACACACCTGTACTGGGTCCTGGGGTGTTTCTTCTGTGGAGTCTCAGCTCCAGAGGCCTCTACGGTGCCCAGGCAATGGGGGTCTGTACCCCACTCCCTACCCCAGATCCCGTTCAGGAAGTCGGCAGACAGGAGGGGCCCGGGGGAGGCTGCAGCGTCCGTGGGCCTTCCAAATGCACGCGCAGATTTCTCCCCATGTGATTGCACAATGCAGGTCGGAGGGTAGCTTCCACTTCCTGTGCGGGAGGCAGGCTGAGGGGAAGTCAGGCCTCTGATCCTTCTCACAGCAGCCTGCCCCGGCCGGAAACGGCAGGGCTCCTGGCAGCTGAGCGCTCTGAGCCCTGGGCGACTGCAGGGAAGCCCCAGCTACCCCTAGGCTAGGCCGAACAGTGTCTGTGGGAGGGGACGGGCCTGCATATCTGGGCAGGAGGCCAGCCGGGGTCTCTGTCTTGGACACACATCCCCAGGCTGGGGCCAGGCGCAGACAGGGATATGCAGTGGCTTCTGGGGACCTCATGCCATTTGGGTGGGACCTGGGACTTGACTTCCCAAGCTTTTCTGCAAAGCACCTCAAAGGACAGAGATGAGGCCCCATCAGCAGGGCGTGGTCATCTGGGAGGGTCAGCAGTTGACCATGCTGCAGGCACCGCTGGCCGGAACAGTGAGGGGTTGGCCCTGGACCCAGCTCAGTGTGGGAGGGAGGGAGATGGTGCTGATGGCACAGAGGACCCCCTGTGGCAGCCACCCCTGCAGAGTCACGGGGTAGTCCCAGCAGGTTCTAGGGACACTGGGCTTGTGGAGGACCTCGCAGAGCTGGCCTGGCAGGTCACAGGTGTTTCTGGGTGGGCTGCAGCTGGGAAGACAGGGCGGGCAAGAAGGGAGGGCCCCAGCAGTCGGTCCCAGTGGGCTCTGGGGGGGTCTGCAGAACTTGGCCTGGCTCGTGGTCCAAGGGACCTCAGGTCCTGCACAGAGTGAGGCGTCACTCAGACAGGGCAGAGAACAAGCAGAACCTTTCGAAAATGAGAGAGATCGTCAGAATGCATAGAGATTTTACACAGGGCGAAATGGTCTGATATTTTAATTGCTGACCAATGTGCCATTTTGAAATTCAAAAGGGATGGAATGGAGCACGTGGTGGAATATTGCTGTTTCTGGCTGAAATCTGTGTTCCGGCGTCCCTAATGGTTTGAGTCTGGAGGTTCCCAGGGGGCCGCGGTGGATGAAAGGAGCGCCTCCCCCAGCCCCATGAACCTAATGACTGCAGACGCTGGGTTCTGGATATTTCTTCCCTTCATGTGTGGGGAGGGGCAGGGGAGCAGAACCAGCCCAGCCTGGCCCTGGGCTCTTCCCTGGGTGGACTGGCCCCGTTGGATGCCCCAGGTAAAAGGCAGGAAGCCCCCAGAGGGCCCGTGCTCATTGGGGCAGGAAGGCCACACCCCTCAGGTGCTTCCAGACAAGGCTGGTCCAGCTCAGGTGAGCCCAGAAGGCTGTCAGCAGCCTGTGCCACGCCCTGGAGGTCACACCCCTGATGGACTGGTCCCGGCCCTCCTGGGCTGCGTTGCGGAGCGCATCCAGGGGAGCGAGAGGCCAGCGTGGACGGAGAGGGTGAGGTGGCAACACCTGCCAACGATGGGGTGGAGGCTGCCCAGTGCAACGCTGAGGTCAGATGGGGCACAGGTCAGGGTGGGCGGGCACTCAGAGAGGGAGAGAGAGACAGAGGAAGGGAGGGAAGGAGGAAGGCCAGGGGTCCGGCGTTTTCTGGGGAGCTGTCCGGAACCACAGCCCCTGCTGTCCTGGACCTCTGCTGGCAGGAGAGCAGGTGGAGTAGGTGCTGACCAACCTGCGGAGGTGCAGGTGTCGCTCACATGTGGGCACCTCCTGCAACCAGGTCTGGGGAGGGCATGAAGGGGGCAACCTTCCTCCGGGCTCTGTCCTGGGCCCGTCTTGGAGCCACCTCTGAGCCGCCCGGATGCGGGGGTGCTGGGGCAGAGGGTGGCGGTAACCACCCTCCCTGGGCTCCCTGTCCTGACAGCTGGCAGAGAGGAGCCTCTCGGGACCTGAGAGCTGGCTTGGTTGGGACTGGAGGTGCCTTCCTCTGTGCCCAGCAGCGGGCAGGGCCTGGCAGAGGAGGGCAGGGGTCTGGCTCCAGGCCTGGGCTGCTCACTCTGTGTCACCTCGGGCCTGCCTGGCCTCTGAAGGCCTTGGTTTCCTCACCCGTCCTGTGGGCAGGGGTCTGGCCTGCAGGGTACCTGAGAGCTTCTCAGGGTTTCTATGATTTCTTTGGGAAGGTGAGTTTTGGGCTCCTGGATAAGGGGTGGGGGCCAGCCTCCTGCACCCCTCATGTCTCTAGCCCCCCCCCTCCCGGGCTCCCGTCAGGCCCTGCCTGCCCTCCTCACCTCCTGCTCCCCCTCCTGCAGCCCCAGGACCATGAACAGAAGTAACTGTTCCTTCAGCGAGCTCAGAAGTTCCCCGGCGTTCACATACTTCACCTTTGTCTACCTGGGCTTGCTGCTGGCGCTGGGCCTGCCGCTCAACGGCCTGGCGCTCTGGGTCTTCTGCTGCCGCCTGCGCAGATGGACGGAGGCCCACGTGTACATGGTCAACCTGGCGGTGGCCGACTTCTGCCTGCTCTGCGTCCTGCCTTTCATGCTCTACTCCCTGAAGGACCACTCCGAGGACACACCGTTCTGCCAGGTCTCCCAGGGCATCTACCTGACCAACAGGTACATGAGCATCAGCCTGATCGTGGCCATTGCCGTGGACCGCTACGTGGCCGTGCGGCACCCACTGTATGCCCGCGGGCTGCGCTCCCCCAGGCGGGCTGCGGCCGTGTGCGTGGTGCTCTGGGTGCTGGTGATGGGCTCTCTGGTGCTTCGCTGGCTCCTGAGGGAGCAGGAAGGTGGCTTCTGCTTCTCGAACCGGTCCCGGCACAGCCCCTACACCGTGGCCTTCTCACTGCTGGGCTTCTACCTGCCGCTGGCTGTGCTGGTCTTCTGCTCTCTGCAGCTGGCGACCGCCCTGGGCCAGAGGCCGGACACTGACTCGGGCCAGGCGGAGGCCACCCGGAAGGCTGCCCGCATGGTCTGGGCGAATCTGGCCGTGTTCCTGGTCTGCTTCCTGCCTTTGCACGTGGTGTTGACGTGGCGCCTGGCCACAGGCCTCAACACCTGTGCCATCCACGATGCCCTCCACATCACTAGCAAGTTCTCAGATGCCAACTGCTGCCTGGACGCCATCTGCTACTACTACATGGCCAGGGAGTTCCAGGAGGCGTCCCCACTGGCCAGTCTCCCCACTGCCAAGGCTCCCAAGAGCCAGGACTCGGTGTGTATGACTCTGTCCTAGGGGCCAGCGCCGGTGTGGGGAGCCAGGCTCCGGCTCTCCGGGGTGCGGCCTGCTGGGGGCTCTGTGACAAGCAGCAAGTAGGCCCAGGATCAGCCTTACACTCGCCATGGCTTGTGGGCACTCTCCAAGAGGCCTGCTGGGCACGGGGGTCCCAGGCACAGGGCCTGGGGAGGTGACACCTCCACCCCTGGGATGGAAGAGGGAGATGGAGAGGGATGGCCAGAGGCCTGAGGCCTGAGCAAAGCAAGGCCAACCCAGGGACCTGGGACAGGGATCACACCTGCGGTGCCCAGGGCCGGTGCACCTGCTGGGTTGTGCGAGGCTCCGACCGCCAGCCTTCTCATGCAGCCCACGGGGCTGGGTAAAGTTGTCCACCAGGGCTGGCCCTGACAGGGCTGTGCAGCTGCTGCCCGTGCTCGCCTGGTGGGAGGTGGGGGGGCCAGGGCATCTCCCCAGATGACTCCCTAGGGCTTTCTACCCAGGGCTCTCCTTGGGCCCTCAGATCTGCTCCCCACCCATCTGAATTCTGGTGGGTGCTCAAGGCCCTCGGCCTGGCTTCCTCCTGCCAGTGAGGCCCAGGGCCTCTCAGCCGACCCCTCGACCCCTAGGGGCCACACAGAAGCCACAGGGTGGGGGGAGGCCGGGGGCAGTGGGAAACGGGCGGGGTCTGTCGCCGGGCGCTCTCCTGTGCTTCCTTCATGCCGACCCCCTGCCCGGTGCAGGGAGGGCTGGGTGCCCAGCCAGGTGGCTTTGTGCTGTGCCCGCGTCTCCTCGGCCTCCGTGATGGGGCTGGGCAGCCAGACTCAAGTTGGAGCAGCCAGAGGCCCCTGTGCCGGCCCAAGGTGGGCCTGGGTTCAAGGCCAGCTCTGTCTCCCTCCACCTCTGTGTCATCGGGCACAGAACTACCTCCCTGCCCTGTTTTCCCCGCTGCGTTGGGAGGGAGAATGGTGGCCACATCCTAGCAGGCCCGGCCTTCCCTGCCCAGTGCTCAGCCTCTGCCGCCTTCACCCTTCCTCAGGGGGAACCCCGCCTGTGTCCCCTTCCTCAGAACCCATGCCCTTGGTGGCCTCTGGCCACCTTGCCCACTAGTGGGCGCCCAGGAGAGCTGGGGATGCATTCTGTGCCAGGAAGGCGCAGGGTGGCCAGGTGTGTCCAGTGGGGCAGGAGTGGGGTAAACACAAGCGAGACGACTCTGGTGTGAGCGATGGCGGGGCTGCGGGTGGCCCCCCGTGGGCAGGGCTGCATCCTCTCTTCCCTCCATCCTGCCCCCTGTCCCTCCTGTGCCCTTAGACACAGATGGTGGCCTTCGACTAACCCCACAGCCCCATCCCGCTGCCCCCAAATTCTCCACACCCTATGTCCCCAGGAGTGCTCCCCACGGCTCCCCATACCCCTCACCCCATCCAGTCTCTCCGTGTGTCTGCACCCCAGTCTCGCCCTACAGCCCCCATAACCCTGCCCGCTGCCCTCACAGCCCCGCCGTCCTGGGGGCAGGGTCAAGTGGACAGTGTCCAGCCCCCGGCTTCTACCACCCTGGGCCTCCAGGGGTCTGATTTCCAAGGAATGCAGGAGTCCGTGGGATGATTCTGTGGATGGAAAAGGGGCCACATGTTAAACCTGACAAGCTCAGGAGACTGAAAATAACCACACAGGATGGCGTGAACATAACAATTCCTAACTAGGTGGGTCACAGCAGGAAGTCACATCCTTGGCCTGTAGCTTCCTTGACAAAGGTCAGTCTTCACCTTAAGTGAGCCTGTCTGTGTCTTTTTGCATCTAAGATAACACACCCTTACAATATCAGAGTCATCTCTTCTCCCAGACCCCCCAGGGGGCACAACCCACCACAGCAGAGCAGGAAACTACAAAGTCCCTCATTGTTATCCTGTTCCCTGAATACTATCTCTACGTGCTGTAAAATGCTATTAACTATGATGTACCTGCCAATGTAAAAGAAGTGTGTCTCCATTTTATTTTTTATCCAATCCCAGAGATTTCCCCGCTTTGCTTTCTCCCACCCCCTTAATCTACAACCAAAGGATTTCATGTAACCCTCCTCCTTTGATTTTATGTATAAAGTAAGTTGCACAACGGCCATTTTCCAGATCATTTTCTCAATCCCTTGAGACTTTGCTTCCCTGCAGTTGTCGTCAATTTGGCTCAAATAAACTCTTATAAGTTTTCTCTTAGGCTGGATGTTTTTTCGTCGACAATTCTTACTGTAGGGTGGGCTGCCCACTGTGCGGACAGAGATGCAGGGCCGGGCAGAAGCACCTCGTCCTGTCCTTGGCCAGACGGGGGTCAGAGAGGCAGGGGAACCAGGCCTGGGACTTGGCTCCAGCCCAGCGTTGTGGGACTGAGGCGGCGTCTCCCTGATGGCCAGTGAGACCAGCAGCAGGAAAGAGCAGTTCTGGCCAGGTGGCCGCAGGCTCTTAGATCCTTGTATTAAGAAGGATTCTGAGGGTCCTATGGCTCAGGGGCACAGCTGATGTGACATCTGCACAGGTTGGAGCTGAGCCCTGCCAGGGCTGCCTCCCTGGGGTGGAGGAAGTGAAAGCAGCGGGAGGGGAGAAGCTAGC